AGAGGATTCTAATTTGTTCACAAATTTCTCCATATTTTGAAAACAACTAGAGAAAATTGAGCTACTTAGAAACACAAAAATAGAGAATTTAATTGCTACAACTGGAGTAGGCTAGTTGAAATGAAAATGAGCAACCAAGAAGAAAAAAAGCAGCATTAGAGTTCACATATTCCCTTTCTTCACACCAAAATTCAACACCACCATCATAGGGGTGTAAATTTGGCCCGGCCCGACCCGTGTCGGGGCTCGCGGGCTCCCGTCAAAATTCAGGTTAGGTCAAATCGGGCGACCCACAGGCCAAAAAATTAGGTCCCCAGGCCTAGGCCTAGGGTTATTCGGGCCTTGGAAGCACCGGGCCGGTAGCCGTGGGCCTAGGCTCGGGCTTGAGGTAGGCCTGAACAAATTTTTTATTTTTTTTTATTTTTGATTACCACGATTACCAAAATTTTATTATTTTTCACTAAAAAAGACATTGAGCCTTGGACGAGCCGGGCCTCGGGCCGAACCTTAAGTAGACCTTAAGCGGGCCGATGGGCTGGGCCACGAGTGGGGTCGGGCTTCAAAATGATGGCTCAGGCCCAGGGCCTCTGGTTGGGCTTCGGGCCGCCCATGGGCCACTGACCATTTTTACACTCCTACACCATCATTATATATATAAACCCTTCAACAAGTCAGCAAACAAATTAAATTCTTCAAATGCCTTCGTAGATATATACAAAGTATTGCCCACTGTGACTTGGAATCAATTGAAAACCCAATAAATGTGAAATTATAACCTAGAAATAGGAATTACAGAGAGAGAGAGAGAGAGAGTACGACTTTGTTGTTGGAGTCTTTGAGGTCATCGCGAAAATTGTGGTGTTTTTTGGTGTTGACGATAATTGGAGAACTGAGTTTGAGATCGGAGGTAGTTTTCTCGCCGGAGGTCGATGGGGTGTTTGGTTCTTCTTCGGCTTCATCACCCTATGAGCGTTTGATTTTTGGAGGTTTGATTTCCACTGTTGGTGAGGCAGTGGCGGCGACGAAGGTGGTGATATTGTTGTTCGCCATTGGAGTTGTAGAGAGAGAAAAAGTCGATGTCTGTAAAAAGAAACACACTACCTATTACGGGTGAGGGACCTTAGGCTACCCAAAAAAAAAAAAATTATGAACCTCTCCCATTACCAAAAGTTGAAGAGAAATGTTAGACTAAATAACCTATTTCGATAACTTTGAAATTTGTATACAACTAATTTGTAATTAATATTTACACTTTTTATGTATGTAAATAATATTTTAACAAATTTCGAGACTCATTAAATACAATGGAACATACATAATTATTTCTTAACGAGTGGCTAGAGACATTTGTTAACATGACCCAAATTTAAACAGTTAAAAAATTAAAAAGCCACTATAATACTTATCAAATCACTAAAATTGCAAATTTCCAGCTCTCATACTTCATATTTAAAAATAAAAAATAAAAAGAAAGGAAGGATCTATCTTCAAAATTTACTTATCATCTATTATTTTTTTAAAAAATAAATATAACGAAATCATGCATCCATAAATATGGTATTTTCATAAATAATCTATGCACAGAACGGATCCCAACAATACTTTCCAATCAACATAGGGGACTATTGAGTAGAGAGAATCTTTTTCCTTAGGTTAGGTGGTATATGATAAAACTGAAAATTAAATACTAAAAGCTGAATGCTGAATTTTTTAAGTTGAAAAGTTGTTTGATAAATATTTAAGTGCTAAATTAAAAATAAGTTGTTTGATATGTATAAAATTAATTTTGAAATTTATTATTTTCAAATTGTATATTATAAACTTTATATTGTAATGGTGGTAGTGACATAATAGTGGTGGTGATAGCGGTAGTGTTGATGGTGGCAGTAAGGGTATTAAAATGATGGCGGTGTTTATGACAATAATGATAATGGTGATGAAGGTGATGATAGTAGTAGTGGCAGCTGCGACGGTGGCAACGACATGATGGTGGTGATAGTGGCGACGGTGGAGTCATCGTGGCAGTGGTAGCAATAGTGATGGTGGTGGCGGCATAATGGTAGTAGTAGTGGTAGTGGTGGCAGTGGTGATCGTAGTGATGGCGGTGACATGATGTTGTTGGTTATAGTAGTGGTGACAGTGAGTTTATAATAATGTATATCAATACTTATATTTAGTTTTTATAAATTCAGTCAAAATTAAGTAAGTTTGATATGACTTAAAATTTTCTTAAGTTTTAGCCCACATTTCAAGTGACATTTGAATTTTTAAATGCTATCAATTGTGATTATCAAACGGGCTTATTTGATTAATACTGAGATCAATGCAATGATAATACTAAATCATGTTGTCAAACACCATTTAAATTTGATTATTTAAACTCAAGGTGGTGGAAAGTAGAGGGATTGACAAAATGTTTTTTTTATAGGTTTGTTTAGCATGCAAGTGGTAAAAGTTATCAAAAATTTATTAAATTTTCTTGTAAATTCCATATTAACATGATAATTAAAATTTTAATTTCTTACAAAATATATAGAAAAATATAAAATAATAAAAAAATTATTCTTTAAAAGGGTTACCTATAATTAAAATTTTAAATCTCTCTTTTTCATGTAGAAATTTCATTCTAATCAAAATTTTGCAGGAAAATATGTGCACACCAACCCTAGACCAAACGATTTCAAATGCGTTAATCATATCTCAGGAATTTCATTTCCAAACATGTATCATGGAACTACCAAAATAGAACAATGAAAAATCAAAATATAGAATATATATACATGTATATATTGTGTGTTTGTATGTGACATAATGGCACAAAGAATAAAATAATCTACATAATACCTCTAATATGAGAAAAATAACCTATTGAAATATAAGTTTAAATGTATAGAATCAATTAAATAGGGTATAAGTCCATCAAAAAAGATTTTTCACTAAATCGTCCATATTTTCTGTTTCTTTTCTTCCATTTCATTTTCTACCACTTTTACTTTCTTTTATTTTTCTTCCAATCAAACAAAGACTTAAAGCAAATGTAGGATATATTATATTAATGTTCATAGATTAAAAATAAATTTAGATTAAGTGGATGAAAGACCTTGCTCAAGTGGATCATTGACTCATAAAAAAGAAGGAAATTTTAGATTTAAGTGGATGAAAGACTTTTGTAGATCATTGACCTCTTGGTTAAGTGGATCATTGAACCCAAAAAAACAGAAGGACGTTTTAGATTATAAAATAATTTTAGATTAAGTGGATGAAAGGGGGAGTTTGGGGTGGGTGGTGCTTTGATAGTTAAACCCCACCATTTTGGTGGGTTTGATTTATATATATATATATATATATATTATTATTAAGTGAATGTCAAAATTGAGTTAGTGAAACGTTATTCTCCTCATGTCACGTGGCAACTTTATATATGTTAAAATAAAATAAATTATTATACACATGGTAAGCAAATTTTGAATCCAAAACCTTAAATTTCATTAAGAACATACTTATCACTTAAGCAACATATATATATATTATGATATTAAATTCTTTATTATTTATTTTTATTATTAGTTATCTGAATTGTTGTAGACACCCCATTTTTGACCGTCCTAAGGACTTGGACGTCATCGTTTGAGTGCTCGATGATTGCACATGTTCGCACTCATTTGGAGTCCCCGAGGTTTTCGGCTATGCGCCTTGTCTCTAAGTCTCTGAACTCTCTTGGTTTTGTGCTTGTTTTAAGCCAACTCTTGGTCCCCCCTTTTTCCTGGAGGGAGAAACAGTGGTGTAGACCACTTTTATCCCCTGTAGACCACTTTTCTTCCCTGCCAGCCACTTTTTGTGGTCGGTCAGGTAGGGTTGGTGGTCGGTTGACCACCTCAAGTGGTCTGCAGCATGCCACCACCTTCTCCTCTCTTAGGAGACCCCCTTTTTTGCCCTGTTGTAGACATCCCATTTTTGACCGTCCTCAAGACTTGGACGTCACCGTTTGAACACCCGGTGATCATCCATGTTTGTGTTCATTTGGAGTTCCTGGAGGTCTCGGCTCGCGTGCCCTGCCTCAGAATCTCCGAACTTGACCGTTTAGTGTCTGGTTTTGCACCAAACACTTGCATCTTGCCTTTGAGAGGCAGGGTGGGGCTTGTAGACCATCCCCATCCACCACCGGCAGTGGCTAGATGCCACCGGCTAGTTTTTGCTGCGACCGGCAATATAGTTTGCCGGCCGGCACTCTTTGTTGCCGGTCAGCACTATTTGTTGCCGACCGGCACTTTTTTTGGCCAAGATGGCATTTTTGGCCGGCCGATTGCTGTTCATCTGCTTTTGCAGATATTTTTAGACAGCTGTATTGCTTTTGCTCCCCTCCTTACACGTGTATGGAGGGATCTCCCTCTTGCAAAGCTTGTCTTGTAAGCTTTACAAGAGGCATATAGAGAGAAGCTCTCTATAAGGGAAGAGGAGAGCTTTTAGACATTTTTGAGAGAGGAAAATACAGACCAAGCTCTGGTTTTTCTAGGGTTAGGGTTAGATATACACTCTCTTATCTCTCTCTTTTTCCCTCTTGTGTGTGTTTTAGTGCACTTGTGTCTTACTATTGCACACAAACACCTAGTGTTTCACCTTCCTTTGGCTCTTGAGGTTCTAAAGGACTGGTTTTGAAATTTTTGTGTTGGATTCAAGCTCAAGGAGGCCATTGGAGCACCATTTGTGAAGGGGTCATCAAGGGTGAGATTCTAGTCCCTTTCCCCCCCATTTTTGCATTGATTTTATACCTATCTTAGAGCTGTTTTTTTTATTATTGTATAACATAAAAAAGTTCTGTTTTTAAGCCCTCTCTATTTTTTATTAAGAGTGTTTTGTTGTTTGAGGGTTGTTGACCACCCTTAGGCCTTGAAAGGCCTCATTTTGAGCCATTTTGTGCTAGCTCCGGGATTTTGGTGTTGAGGTCTCTTCACCACTGAAATCTTGAGGGATTTAGATTCAGTGGTGAAGATGATGCTTTGAAGTCCCAAGAAGGAGAGGGCAACCCCCTCTCCTTGTTGTCCTTGAAAAGGGCATGTTTTGGCCTCTTAAGGAAGCCTATGCTTGGGTGTGTGTTGAGCATGTTTGGTTTGTTTTTCATGCTTATATATCCATAATATAACATGATTTTAAGTTGGTTTTGGTACTCCATGCATGCTTAGCATAGTTGCCTTGTAATGCCTTGTTTATGCCTTAACATGTCTTAGGTTGTTAGCCTTTGTTGGAGCATGTTTTAGGCTTAGTCTTGTGAAGATTATGTGCTTATTTTGCCATGTTTTAGCTCTGTCCATAGTCGTTTGGGTTGATTTTAACATGCATTATATAGCTCCTTTGTATTTCGGCTTGTTGGCCTTGAGTATGTGCATGTGTAGCATAGCATCCTTGCATTGTTTTGGTGATTTGGGATCATTCTACATGTTATTTCAGTCCCATTTCCATGCTTGTTTGATTGCCTTGCATGCCTCTTTAATGCTTTGGAAGCATGTGTTGCATGCTCCTTGTTTTGACCATTTGTGCATGCCTTTGTTTTTTGGGTCATTTAGATGCCATCTAAGTGGTCCTTAGGCCTTGTATTGATGTGCTAAAACTCTGTTTTGGGTCAATAAGTTCATACCATGTTTAGTCTTGCAAGTGTATTTCAATGCTCCTTGGATTTGCTTTGAACACTTAGACTATTTGTTGCATGTTTAGCTTGATTTGTTGCTTGGTTTGGCAGCATCCTAACATGATTTCAATGCTTATGTTGCATGCTAATCGTCCATGATTCCCTCCTTCAAGTGTGCTTGAATGTTGTTTGATTTATACTTAAGTGTTGATCCTTATGTGCATGTGTGTGTGCATGCCATTTAGCCCTCACTTTTTAGCACATTGGCCACTGTTTTAGGCCTTATTAGAGCTGCCTAATTCATGTATAAGACCATCTTAGCATTAGTTTGCATTGCCATATGCATGCTTGTATGCTTGCATAAATGCCTTGCCATGCCATGTTGCATCCTTAGTTGTATGCCTAGCCGTTGCATTGCATCGTTGCATGCATTCCATTGTCCCCTTGACTTGGGTGATAGGATGGGAGATTTTGTTTGATTTGGTTTTTGGCATACATTTGAAATCAAAGTTGCCATACTTGTTTTTGGGCCATCAGCATGGAAATCGTGATTTGGTGGTCCGCAGAATCGAGGCACATGCCGCTTTGAGTCGCAAACATGATAAGGGAACATGTTAATGCATACATGCCTTGAATTGTGCTGCATGCTTTGCCTTGCCCTCTGTTGCTTGGCCAGTTGCAGGTGTCGTGCAGGCTTTCTATGCGACCGCAGTGTAAGGGTGCCGGCCGGCAATCTTTTTCTGCCGACAGCTTCAATTTTGTGCGATGGACACATTGCCAGTGCGGTGATGATCCCACTCAGCCGGTGGTACTCCGTGCCCAGGGATGTACCTGAGGTTTTGACAGCCTCCAGAGGAGTGAAGGAAGGAAAACAGAGGCAGCTTGCGCATGGTGGCGCGCTTCCCGAGGCGTTTTCCTGTATTTAATTAATTTATTTTAAATTTGTTAATTAAATTAGTTAATTTGTAATATTAATTAGCTTGCGTAGGTTAATTAATTTGTAATATTTATTCGGTCCTCCGAGCGAGGGGCAAACGTGTACATAAGTGTGGGTGCGTGTGTGTATGTCTTCCAACCCCCACTTCTTTTCTTCCCTTTTATTTACCGGCTTGGTGGTAGATTAGGGCACATTTTAATTTTAGCATACCTTATGCTATGCATGCGTGCATTCATGCTTTTGTATTACATGCATTAGGTCGGTACAATCATGCTAATTGCATTCGTATTCAAATTCAAATGCAATATGTGATAAGTTGTGCATTTCACATAACATGTTTAGGATAGCCGAGCCTATTCTAGTAAATTTTGTATGCAATGCATTAGGCACTTCACAATGGACTTGGGATCATGCATGTTTGCTAACA